TCAAACCTAAATAGTGGCATCCCTTCCTTCTCCGGTCACCTCACTCCGGCAGTTTCTCAATTTCACACCTGTTCGGAGGGCTTCTAAACCCATCCGAACAGTCACCTTATTGCCTATAAATTCAAACTTTCTTCAACCATTTCTCTCATTTGTTTTTCTTCATTTTCTCTATATTGCTTTTCTGCATTCTTATATATTCTGTAAAAGAGAGAGATACAACTCAGTTTGTTTGTCAGACCCAGATTGTAGTACTGCAATTTTGGGATATAGTCATTGTATCCACGGAGGTTGGCATCATCTGTTCTCGAGCACCGTTGTGAGGACATAACGATATTAAGGAAAGTGTGTCCAACACATGCCTCGGCTGTCTTTCCTTTCTGTATTTCTACAGTAATAATCTGTACATTGTTTTGTATGTAAATTTTTCCTGTTTTATTTCAGTGTGTGTTCTTGTTCTTGTTTTAGACTTGAACAAGAAATTTCTTTTCTTTTCTTTCCTTTCCTTCGTTTTCAGAAACATTTCTGTTATGAGTTTTGGGAATTAAAATTTACGTTATGAAATTTAGTTTTAGAATTTTACTTGCAGTTGTGGTTTTATTAAATACACACAGTTTGCTATTTAATTTAAATAGACGTATTTTTCCTACATCCATTACATTTATGTTGGGTGTTTGGGAAACAATAAGCGATATTTACATTTATGATTTGTGAAAGATAATGTCACGTTGTACTCTATTAACATACAAAAATTTCTCCCAACTCTCACCCCATTCTCAGATCTTTCATTGTGTTTGGATGATAAATTTGAATAAAAATTTAGAAAGAGAAAGAGAAACAAAAATGGAAATAAGAATGAAATAAAATTACATTTTAATTATATTTTATACATTTTTTTAACATTTTTAAATTTTTATCTAAATTCATAATCCAAACATAACTTTAGAGTTTTGGTGAGTCTATTTGAGATAATCGTGATGATATGAAATTTTGACTTTGTAGGTTAGTTATCCAAAGAATTAAGTTAAAAATTTGGTTGAATTATATAATTTTTAAATCATAATTTTTATTTAATTTGATTTTTAAAATTTGATTTAATCATGCGAATGTCTTGATCAATTTAATCTTTTTACCTGAATAATTTATTTGACTTGTTTAACATGTTGAATCATTTGAATCATCTAAAGAAGTTCAAAATGAGCCCCAACAACACAACACAACACAACACAAATCCCACCATAGTACCATACTGTGTGATTGATGACTGGTATTCGACCCAACTATCGTTAGAGACACAAAGGTCGACCACCCAGTCTGACACATAGCCCAACCCATGAATCCAAAGCCCAAGCCTTCGAGCATACAAATAGTATTGACTAAACTGTTTTACCTCATAAATCATGAATACAGACTGCAGTTAAATAGTATTTTTACTGTTGATTGGAGAGAGAGTATGGTCTCGTTTGGAAATAAGTTTTTTTAGTGATTTTTTGATTTTTTAGTTAAAATATGAAATCAAAGAAATTAATATATTTAGAATATTTTTTAATTTTTTACAAAAATATGTGTAAAAAATAGAATGAATGAGAAGAAATTTTTTATTTTTTGATATTTGTTGATTTTTTAAGTGACTTTTAAATTAAAACATAAGGTGAGAAAATAAAGTCAATTGTAAATAGTACAACTGACCATAAAAAAGATATGACGAATTTAACTAATCACTAGTGTTTGTTCTAATGCTGACGGATGAATATTGACTTAACAAATTTCATGATTGGTTAAGATGGCTTGGACGTATAATTGGTTAAGATGTTTACACAATAAAAATTTAGTGACTATTAACATTAACCTTCTTTGGATATGATTAAAAAAAATTACTACTTCTGACAATATAAAAATATTGTAACATAGAGATTCGTAAACGCTCATGTACTTGAGTTATAACTTAACACTGATCCTACTAGAATATAATAAAAATTAATAAATGACTAAAAATTAATAAAAAATAATTTCACTCTGAACATCGTCATAAAAACTCAACCCTATGTCCACCAAATCAAAATGGGAGTAAATCCCATCACCACAATTTTCAAAGACAAAAACTGACACTGAAAACACACAAACCTTCTACTCAAAAGGGCAGAAGAAAACAGTCATTGTGGAAGTACTTTCAAATTGACAAGAAAAAGTACAAACAGTTTGGCTGTTTGTTAATGGAAAATTACCAAATAATCCACAGCCATTTTAACAGCATTGACAATCCATTTAATTTCTAGCATTGTGAGTGCCCACCATGTGAGATGGAGTGCTATTTTTTTTTTTTCGATACAGCGGAAATGAAGAGGGAGTGCTATTAATACAGTAATTTTATTTGTGGGAATTTAGCAGTCTCCTTGTTAATAACAGAATAATGATACATATCTTTAATTTGAGAACTCTAAATAAAACACTAGTGAGTGGAAGAGAAAGGAGTGTGAATCCCACCTTCACATAGGTATTTGAGAGGGTAATTTATACCTAAATGGGCCGAACTGGGTAAATGGACCGTTTTTTGGGCCACAGTAAGAAGGGCTGGATGAAAGAGGGCTTGTAGTTAGCCCGGTCCTAGTAAGGCTAATTGTTAGCCCGGTCCGAAAGAATCTTGAAGTTAGTCCGGTCTAAGAGAAGCTTTGAATATAGCCCGATTGCCGTACTCAAAGTTAGCACGGTCATGACTTATCGTGGTTATCTCGGCCAGAGCCTTGCTGTTTGTTAGCTCGGTCTGACCACACCATGGTTAGCATTGGGAGAAACTGGGGTAAGAGCAATGAATGGAAGAGCCGAACTAAAGTTAGCTCGGTCTAGTCTGCGACTTAGCATAGCCATGCTTACCTCGGTCATATTGGAGTCCGACCATGGTAAAACCATCTCACTTGGTTTAAGCAGTGAGGAGGGTGTTGAAGGATAAGCATTATCTTTCAGGAGTATGACTTCTAGGAGGACTCTACATGGAAGAGTAAGAGTCCTACTAGGATTGTGTCACGCGGAACCTATAAAAGCTCACAACATCACCCATGGAGAGGTAACACAACTTTGATTCCCGAACACACAGAGGCCCTGTTTGGTATAGCTTTTTTTCAGCTTATTTCAGCTTTCAGCTTAATTTAAGCTATTTTGATGTGTTTGGTTTAGCTTAACAATGCAGCTTATAGCTTTTTATAAGTCAGAAATCAGCTTATTCTTTGAGTGGGGCAGGAGAAGCTTAATTTATAAGTCAGAAATCAGCTTATGTT